ACTGTGTTGATTAACAGTGTGCGTGTGTGGTGTGTGTGCCGGCTTTTTAGGACTAGAACTGAAATGATCAGTTTACGATCAGTGGCATACTGGTGAAAAGATGTTTCATCTAAGTCTAGAAGCTCTCAGGGCAGGTACAAGGATGATAGAAGGTGCAAAGGATAGTGCAAATTACAGAAATCTAAGTGGGTTAATTCCACAAGGGACTTGCTGAACATTTGGGATAGAGAGAGAATTTCTCTGCAAATCCATCCCTGTCTCCTCATCTTCACATCCAGTGTCACAAACCCTTCTGATTCATGTCGACTTGATGAGCTGGAAGAACCTGCTGAGCCTGTGATAGCTGCGGCCAGAGGATTAGCAGCTTCTTTCCCTCTTCAGTTCTGTTTTCAGACTGGGATACATCTTTACTGAAGATTAGCAGCCTGGTGGGTTGGGGAAATTAGTTTTTACAAGGGCTGCAAACTGGAAAGCACATACTCAGAGGTGTGAAAATGAGATGGGGAGGTAGTGACTTCTTAATGAGTACATCCCATGGCCTCAGGCCTTGGGGCTTTCCTGAGGTTAGGTGAGGTGAGGTTACTTCAGAATAACAGGTGATGTGAATTTAAAGGGAAAATCCCAGAATAATTCCTAATGTGGCACTCTTGTCCCCAAATAAGGGTCCCTTTTCTGATTTAATTTAATGCAGTTCCAATATATGCAGTTCCAATATATATGGCTAATAATCCATGAGCTATTTCTTGGCTCTTATTTTGGTCTTTCCCCAGGTAGAGAAGCTGGTGACAGAGCTGGCTGAATTGGCTCATGGTCCCCTTCGGTGTCTCATCAGAGGAAGTGTCCTGGCCAGTTCCTGCCAGGGCATTGGCTCTCCTCCCTAGGGCTATGCCAGTGACTCTGCCCAAAGCCCACTGTGATCACTGCTCTCCTCCCTTGGACCTGAGCTTGCTCTCACCTCTGCTTTTCCCTGTTGTGAACCTGGCAAGTCAGGGCCGATGTGACCAGGGCGTGTGCTGTGAGCCAAGCTGGCAGAACCCTGTGTGCTGCTCCAGCTTCACTCCCTCTGTGCTCCTGCCAGCCAACACACGCATTCACCTTATGTTAATGAAACAGTGACTTGGGAAGAGGTCTTTTTAGGAGCTACATTGGCTTTTCCCCTTTAGTGCACCGTTTGATACGGGGAGTGTGAGAAGGAAAACCTTGAAATACCTGAAGCATCCCCCAAAAGGAATGGCAGCTGTATATATGGGCACTGCTCATGTATTGGGAGGAGCATGGGCTGACAATACGTTTTTTTTCCTTCTATGCACTCAGGTTTTCTTGTGACCTCTCCCTGCTTGATTTATTTGGCAGTTTCTCTCCGTGGGAAGGCAGCGGGGTGGGTGTGTTACAGCCTATGAACGTTCTGCTCTACGCCAGCTTATTTGCATTCACTTTTATCTGATGAATATACCCGTTGTGTTTCTAAACGTCTGGAGTAATTTCTGGTTGATGTAGCACTACCTTGTACTGCGAACATTCTTCTGTGCCATCTTCAAATAAAAACTTAGATTTGTCAAGGTTGTTTTTCTCCCAGAGGAAGTGAAATTAGTACGAGGTTTTGTTTGGCTTATGTGGATGTTCCAGGAATGTTTGCCATCTGATCTGCTTGCGTGTGGATGAGAGCAAAGGCAGATATTTATTTTTTTTAAACCGTATGTAGACAGCTGAGTATTATGAATGAGTTTGTTATTCTATAAGGTGCTTACGGTGTTATCTCCTCTTTGCCTTTGTCTTTAGGGAGAACTCTTTAACCACTTCAGGGATTGACTACATTTGATTAGAGAGTAGTTTGCCTTTTGAATCCATTACCCTGGATGAAAGTCTGTAAGTTTATTCCGATTTCTGATGCAGCTGGAATTGCACCATGTGTGTATTATAGGAATGACGTCCAAATGCAAAGCTATTTCATAAAAGCCCATTTGAATTGATAAGTGTCCTTTTCTTACAGAATTATAATACTGGATTGCAGGGATGGAAAAGAGCCTGCAGGCTCATCTTACCCATGGCAGCTTTCAAATAGTGCCCTTTCCCTTCTGCACCCTTCCTCTCAGACCCTTTTTCTTTTGAAACTTGAAAATTCTGGCTCCTCCTTTCATATAAAAAACCAAAATTTTCATAGTTTGGTTGATTTATCCTGTTGTAGTAGCCACAGATTGTTCCCCTGTCTTCTGCCCTGCCTGGAGACCTTATGCCTGGGAGATGAAGAAGTGGTGGGGAGTGCTTTCCTTCTGGTCTCACATAGCCAAGAGTAAGCCAGCTTTGGGAAGGGGATATGCTGGGTTGCCTGACAGGAGGACAGTCAGTTTTGGTTTTCATTGTTCTTTGAAATCATAAAGCCCTTTCTTTCTCCTAAACACAACCAACATGATTGTTCCCTGGCCAATGCGGTGTCTCTGTTCTGAAATAGTGAGCAGCTTTCCATGGGAAATGAATGCACAGACTGATGTTCCCAAAGTTCAGTGTTATGACATCTTCCTGCAAGCGTGATGGGGCAATGAGGTCATGATGGGGAGGAAGACTGGGTAGATAAGTGCAGTGTACTCACAGAATCCATCTCCTCTGAACTGCTTCCATGAGCTCTGATTTAATCTGCTAAGCTTTTACTTAGGTTATTACTTCTCTGTAGGAGCATAGTGTTTCTGAAGTGCCTGACTGACAGGGAGATTTAAGGGAAGAAAAGGCAGAGCCAGCTTCCTGGCAGTTTCACTAATTGCAGCTTATTATAAATTTAACAGCTGAACTGTCACTTTCCTGAAGGTGTGTGATCACCACAACCTTCTCTTGGATTCTGCACTGGCTATAGAAAACTTTAACTTCTGAGGTGCTAAGCTACTGTCGTGCATTTCATCACTCAATGAGGTGTTCCTTGGTTTACAATTTGCAGGCTTCATTATTCCTTTTATCACATCTTTGGTAATATTGGACTGTGGTCTAAAATATATCTTTGGTGTGTTTCTTCATGTATTCGCATTTACTGAATGATTATTGTGGGAGGTATGGAAGTTTATTCTTCGCAGAGTCTGCTTCCAGTGAGTGAAGCTTTTGCCTTTCAATAGAGCAAGTCATTTTATTAGTTTTTTCTCTACAGATGTCTAATTTGATAGGCACAGTAGGGCTGAAATGATACCTTTTTCACTTGAAATTTCTGGATATTTCAGAGCTTCTAAAATAAATCCTGTAACTTGAGAAACCAAACATTTGTAAGTAGTTCATCTGTCTGCGGTAAGGTTTTTAAAGAAGAAATATACATATAGCACTTTCCTTGAAGTTTTTGGAGAGCATCCTGATTTTTGGGGGTTGGTGGTAACTTTTCCTCCTGTTCTGGTTACTCTCTATATCATGCAATCGTTGTATCTTCAGACTTAATTTACACTGTCAAACCCCTACCTCTCTGAAATCAAACTTAGATTTTATTTTGGCTGCGTTTCTGTTGTGTGACTTAGCCAGAGGACAGCACATCTGGGCAGCTGTGCTTACACCTTTACCTGTCAATTGGCCATTAAAAAGATGTTTTGACCCTGAAAGCTGATTCTGTATGGTGTGTGTTGGCCGGCTGGTTCCAGAGCCACCTTTGCCTTGTTCTTGCCCTGTTTATTCCCATGCAAAACACAATTTCAGTGGTACCAGCCACCTGGCCCTCCTTTGCCTTGATCCTTTGGATGAGACTTTCAGTGGTAGGAAATGGCAGGGCAGGCAGGAAATTGTGTGTTTATTTGGAAGTGATGATGCAAAAAGAAGGAACCTCTGAAGTTGAGGAATGTCTAAGAAAGCAAATAAAAACATCAGCACAAAGGTCTGAAGTTAGCGGGGGACAGTGGCAAGGAAAGCTCTTTCTCTGGTAAATATAATTCACACTTTTTGCTAAATGTAAATGATAGCTTAGGAAAAAACTGCTTGGAATACGTAGTAAATGATGTTGCCAGGATACTTCCTGATCATGTTAATTAAACTGTCCCACAGATTTGGCTTAATTACTGCATAATTTGCATATTGGAAGTGGTGGTACGCATTACTAAAGAAAGCTCATATTCTGTTAGGAGAAAAAAACATTGTACATGAATTAATTTCGAGGGGAAGGAGTTCTAGACTCACATAACGATGTATCTTGAAAATGAAGTTGAGATTTTTGATAATGACCTGACATATATCTCAGCCCTTTTTGCAAGATTACATTTTATGCTTGCTTCTCTAAGTTCCTTTGAGACCTCATCCCAACAGCTTTCCTCTTGTTGGCTATTTCTTTAATTACAAGAACCACTGTTGCTTTCAAGGTTGCTGGTAGTGAAGCAGATTTTAGTTAACTTGTGTAAAGTGGCAGAATATTTGTCCTGAGGCCCACATTTATGCTGAATGTTGGTGATGCGCTTCACCACGCTCCCAAGTTAAACTCACTATTAAGCTATCAGTTTCTTCTTATAGAATCACACAATTGTCTTGTGGTTTTGTTGGTTTTAATTTCTGACATGTCTCTGTCATCCTACTTGGGGAGGCCCAAGGCCAAACGGAGAAATGGTGAAATATCACTTCTGTCTTCCAGTCTGAGGGCAGGTGTTGCTGATGGACGCCCTGCTTGGAGGCCTTGAGCTATCCCCGGTGCCTGGTGGGGTGGCAGGAGAAGCCATGTGCCTTTGTAACACTGAAAAAGAGGGGTTTGCATCTGCATTTCTGCCAGGGTAATTTTATAGCTCCTGTCCCTGCTGTTGCTTTGAGTTCAGTAACGTTTCTGCAGGCATGTTTAACTGCAGGACTGTGACAGTGCTTTGGATAAAGAAGGCAAAACATCAAAACTCCTGCATGACATAAAAGATTGAAACTGGTTTGTTTTGGGAAAAAAAATCTTCTGAATACAGCAATTTCCCAATTTAGACTGCTAATTGCTTTGGATGATATTGTTGCTAGGATATGCATTTCCAGTGTGGCTTCTACTTTTTAATGCTTTTTGATGTGTTTTTAAACAGGTGATCATAAACAGCACAATCACACCTAACATGACCTTCACTAAAACGTCACAGAAGTTCGGCCAGTGGGCAGACAGCAGAGCAAATACTGTGTTTGGTTTGGGCTTTCCTTCCGAGCAGCAGCTGACAAAGGTAATGGGATGCACTGAATTTTGGCAAAGGCTGTCTTGTTTCTTATTAATGAAGAACTGCATATATCTATCCCACTCCTCCAAGCTGCATGCTTCTGCAAGTCCTCTTCATCCATGCAAGTTGCCTACCTCCTATATTTACCCAATGTCTGTATATGCAGGAGCAGGCAGTATTACAAACTCTGTAGCCAAAACTACAAATTAAATCTGACCACTGATAATGGTACTAGGAGATGATCTTGACGGTATCTTGCCCAGCATTGCTGAAAGCAGCTGTGTTTTCAGATATTTACAGAAATAACCTGAACTCTATAGTATTTTTTTGGCATCTCCCTGGCTTATGTGCTCATTTCAGCTGAAAGTGGCACCAGAAGCAAAGGGAGCCACTGATACGCCAGGACAGTTGGCATTAGGGTTGCCTAATGTGTCTGGGGGGAAAGAGTTGCTGTCTCAGCCTCAGAAATGTACATCTTGATGACGTGCCCCCACTGGTAGCTAACTGAGGTAAAGGAGTTACCAGCCCCCAGGGCTTGCAGGTGCCCTTGTTTTGCAGATACCGCTGCAGTGGTATCTGCAAAACTGCTCTCAGGAGGCTCAGTAAACTGATCTGGCTTAAAATAATACTGCATTTTTGGCATTTCAGCTCAGTGATGTGATTTGCAGCCCTGACTCAAAGCTGCTTTATCACAGACCTGAGGAGGTGGCAGTGAGTCGTGGCAGTGACGGGAGGATGAGCAGCCAGGGAGGTCTGACTCCAGGTTTGCTGGCAAAGCTGCCTCTCAAAGGGCAAACCTGGCCATGGGCTTGGTATTAATGCAACACTTCCCTGGCCCAGGGACTGGCTACAACAGCACACTTGTAAAGTCTAGAGTGCCTCTTGTCATGAATAACCAGCAGTTTAAAATACATCCTCTGTCATTAGATTAGTGCTTTTGCCAAGTGACAAGTAGCTGAGATGTTTGGTCATGTAGTAAAAAAACCCTACTTATCTAACACATAGTTGACACCTGAAGAATGGCTACTTGGCACTGGGTTTTGTCAGTTACCTAAACACTGTGTCCTTGGGCCTGGCACGCAGACTCTCATGTTGTCATCCTCTTGTATGCTTTGATAAGAAGAGAATCAGGATAACAAGATGTTTTTGTAGTGTCTAAAATAGCAAAGGCAGACCATTGCAAAAGGAGGATTTTTTAATCAACTGAATTGCTATAGGAATTTATTTTGCTATTTATAGGAATTTATTTATACTAATTTTATTTTACTATTTTAGTAAATAAGAATTTGTTGGGATTTTGCAATTTCCAGAGAATCGTAATTTTTGCAAGTATTTCTTAAAGCATATTTTGCTTTTCATGATAAATTATTTTTGGATTTGGGATGTCCATAAAGGTGCCATGGCAACAATCTCAGACCACCCAATAAATCACATGCAAAACTGTTCTTTTAAAAATGAGGTGTGGTGCTGGTTATGTTTTATGATGTTTATACAAGTGTAGGGGACTGCTCATATTCTTTGTCAAAGAGGTGTTGGTAGTAACTAATATGTAGTATCGGAATATGGGAGGATTATGGCAGACCTGGGGGAGCAGCTTGTTTTGAGTAACGGATAAGCATGATACAATGCAACCACTGGACACCAAATGAAAGAATTTAGCACCGTTAGATAGTAATTTGTGACTGAAGTCACACATCTGCAACTGTATAGGTGACCACAGGGTGCTGGCTGAGGTTAAACCTACACCACGTGCCGCATGGAGCCAGTGGTGCTGAGGCTGGCTCAGAGGATGAGAGGCATAACGAGGCATAAGAATCATTTGGAGGTCCTTGCACTCCATTCAGAGAGGTTTTACCATATTGTCAAAAAACGTCCTAACATGTGCTCAGAATAAATTTAATGCTATCAGAAAGCATCTCTCTAATGTTCACGTGGCCACACTAGAGCCAAGCTGTAAAACATGCCATGTGGGCACAGGGCCCTTGGCACCAGCTGTGTTTCTCTGTAGATTGGTTTGCACATCTGTTTGCACTGCACGATCTGTTGAAGAGCACATTGCCCACAGTAGAGCCTTCTACTTGCAGGGAAAGGTTTCCAAATCAGCAGAAAGACTTTTTCTTGTCAGAATACCAAAGAGGAGCTTAAGGGGAGCACTTCTGAAAATGGCACAAGATGGTCTATCAAAAATAACCTAATAATCTGACAGTTACCTACCTGGAAAATATAAGAAAATCTGTTTTATTGCTACCATGCAAATCAGTGGGACAAAGGTACCTCTTATCACCCATGCTCCTCAGTTTAATTATTGACCCATTAGTAAGAAAGATCAGAGATGGTGAAGAGATTACAGAAGCATAAATGTATTAGGAATAGTGAAATAAAATTTCATTTTATATTGATATCATTATACTTTTATAAAAGAAATTAAAGATTGCCAGTTTTACTGGAAATAATTGAAACATTTAGGAGTTAGAAGGACATGCTAAAACTCCACTAAACCAGAGATCAATAGCCCTGGCTTTAAATAATTAAATAAAGCTGAAATATGTCTGCTGAAAACAATGAATAACAATGAGACAGGAGAGGAGGTTAGCATGCCTAAAAACTTCTGCATGTTTAAGTATATTGGTTGGCCTAATAAAAGATATTGCCTCTTTGTAATGCCTTGCTTCTCTTGAGATACTTAAGCATTAATCCATACCTATAGGGAAAAGCAGTTCAAATTAAACATGAGCCATTAATGAAAATTGCATTCAGTGACCCAGTAACCTAATTACCATTCACATTGATTGGGAGAATCCCAGGGCTTAAAGTTGGTGTCATATTCGGGGTCCTTTTTCCCTCTTGCAGGACTCGCTGACCCTCCTATCCCCCCTTCCCACCCTGTGCCTCTAAAAGGTCTCAAGACATTATCCAGTCATTGCTACAGCCAAATTGAAACAGGAATCAAAGGAGAATTAATGGTGTGCCTGGGTGTGGTGAAAAGGCAGAGCTGGTGCTGTACAGGTAGTGATGTATTTTGCACATGAAGTGGTTAAGTAAAGTTTCTGCTATCATTCAGGATGCTTCAATGCAGACGTGCTACCTGAGGAGCTGTAGGTAGTCAAGGGCACAGGGACAAGGATTTATACAGGTGAGAAACCAGTAAATCCAGACTTTGCACATCAAAAAGCAACTGCACCAGCCTCTGGGAAGCACTGGACTTTATTTCCATCCATGCATGCACATTCTGTGTGCAGTATTTGCTGTCTGCTTTGTTACAGGGGAGAAAGCTCGGAGCAGAGCCTTCCCTTACCCCAGCATGCAGCACAGCCCCTAGGTCCAGCCTGGCTGTGCTAGAGCAAATTACTGGCCACTTTCTGGAGTAAATAGTCTTGTTTGTTGCTTATCTGCCTGGTACTGAGGGCAAACCACAGGCAAAGCGACCTGTGTGTTGTGGGTCACAGCATGGTGGTGCTCCCCAACAGGAACATCGCATCACCCAGCCTTCTGCAAACTGAGAGGGCGATGAAATATTTATGAGACTACTTTGGGTGGGAGCAGCTGTTTCATCTGACACTGGCACAATTTGTCAGTAGGAGACATAAAATATAATGCCAGATCAGGAGCTTAAAATTTATGCATACAAAATAATGCTTTTTAATGTATAAAATGTTAAGAAGGTCTATTTAAATACATATATTTTCCCAGGTTCCAAGCAGGCTGCAGATGTGAACAGCCTTTAAATAATTTGTGCAATGCACAGTAGCATCCTGGAGTCCCCATTAAATTTCACTGGGCAAGGCTCATAATCAAACAGTGTTTATGGGCTGCAGCAGCCTCAGACTAAAAGGCTTCATAAGTGTTGGTAGCAGCAGATCTTTTCCATATTGCAGCTTAGCCTCACTGTTTCCTGTGACATGGGAAGATACATCATATAATTCATGATGAACTATTGGAGTGGTGTTTAGTTGGCATTTCTCCTACTCTGGTCTTTTTCTTCCTAATTTTGGGGAACTTTGTCTGCCTGAGACCAGTGGTGGAGGAAAGGGAAGATGAAGGCAGTAAAGATGAAAGGAGGAATATGACAAGTTTTTTTCAGTTGGTTTGGGGTATGTATAAGTTCATTGCCCCTTGATACCATATTTACCATGATTTCATTTACTAAACAGAAGATTAATTCAGTTATTAACTAGGAATTTCACATATAAAAAGCACTCTCTATTGTTGCAATTGTTTGATAGCTCAAAGTCAACTTGGATCTTGGAAGTGCCACATGGTTTTGTAGTATCAATTATTTGCCAATTATTTATGTTTGGGACAGAAGGAATCAGTTAGTGGAGAGAAAGCATCTCTCTAGTGTCTGCCAGTGATTAGACATTGTGGCTGTGCAGTCACTGTCAGAGACAGCCTCGAGGTCTGGGTAGCTTCAGAAATGCCTCTTCTGCTCCTGTAGCAATTAGCGTTGGTAATGTTCTTTGGGCTGTCACCACTGTGTTGCTGTGCTCAGAAGAGTAATCAAGTGAAAGGCTTTAATTTCATAACAAGTCAAGTGATCTTCAAAGTAGCTTTCAGAAATGGACTGTAAGTAAGATCTAGCAGGTAATAATTAGCTAAGAATGAAAACAAAGCAAAGGCAGTCTTTCACCACCATTTCTGAACAGCTGTCTTTATGTTGGTAGCAACACTAAAAATGAAAGGTAATATTTTAACTCTTAAAGCCAAAGATCTGACACTAAAATGGTGAAAAATTCAGTTATTTTATATTGTTTCTAAAAGCAAATGTGTTAAATACATGTGTTGGTGAACTAGAGACATGACTGAAATCTATTGTGCAATGAGATCATTATTGGTTTTATGTTGAAGATTAGCTTTGTTCAGTCATATGCAATTTTTTATTATGGAAATGTGGAATAATGCCCTTTTCTCCTCCACTCAAATAATTTCTCACAGCAGTCTCCTGTGTGCTTTATGAAGATAGCTGCAAAAATACAATTTGATAGATCACTTCCAATTCTTTCTGTTTTTTCATATTTTGTATAGTCCATGAAGAGCCCTCATAAATTTTTCATGCTTGCCCATAAAGATTTATTGTAAAAGAGAGACTCAGAACAGCCCTTTACTATTTCCAAGAAATCCAAGTGTAGAACTCATCGTTGACACAATATTTTAGAAATAATCAGTTTGTAATAGCTATTTTGTCACAGCAGGAGATACATTTTGTGTAAAGGTGGAGTTAAATCACTTAAGGCAGGAATGTAATGGAGTTGTTCCTAACGATCTTTATAGTGTTACAAAGGTAATCAAGTCATTTGTGTGTGTAGTGACTGCACATGCCATCAGATACCAACCACTGCTACCCAAGAGCACATATGTTGCATATGAAATTTCGGCTGTTGTATAGAAAACAGTTGGATTCCAGAACTCAATCCAGTTCTTGAGCATCGTCACAGGCCATGCTGTACACCCCAAATTTCATCCATGGGGTCTGAGAATGATGTACGTGGGTTTGTTGGAGGTTTCCATTTGTGTGTGTTACACAAAACACAGGTTCCTCCACATATAAATCCAGATTTCTCTTAGACCAGTTGGAGAAGATTTGTTTCACCAGTGTTTATGGTCCCAATATTTTACTGAGAGAGAGCATGCTAAATACCTGCTGTAAATCTGTAAGTCAGAAGGCAAGGTTAGTAAGTGGGTTATGATTCTTCCCATTCCTTGACTATAAAATGTGAATTTTTCATGCATTTATTTACAATTTTGTCATAAATGTTCTGAATTATCTGAGGATATAATGTCAATCCTTTCATCTGCGAACTGCGCAATAAAATACAGATATTTATATTTTTACTTTTAACATGTCTTTCTAGCATTTTGAGTTTCTCAAAACCGAGGCAAACAAGACCAAGGTGTTTTAGCAGAAAGACAGTTATCCATTCTCATGCTGGATGCATCTTAATTAAAAAAATAATGTATTACACCTTTTCTTCCATGTTTGCAATCATCCTTTCAAAACTTTAAACACTGCTTGAAGTGTTTAAAACCCTGCGGTCCTGATGGACTGTGATAATACTTGTATTTCAAAAGTGCCAGTCTGGCTTCAGAGCAGATGTCCTATAGCAACTTGTAGAGATTGGGATCGTTACTTTTCATCTTTATCATTCTTTCCCCTGCCTCCCCCAGCTTGATATAACCCCCTTACAGGATGCATTCGGTCCTTTCCCTGAGGTCTTCTACCTTTATTTCATTTTTGCCATGAATAAGAAAATTATACTGGAAAAGCTGTGTTTTCACATGGCCCCATCATCCATTCAGATCTACCTTCTCATTTTTTGTATCTCTTGATAATCCCTTGCTTGCAGCCTGCAGAGGAGCTCATTTGCATTCCTTAATTTAATTGACTTGCTTTTAGGAATAGAAGACATTGATGATTTTTTTTATCCAAACATATGCCTTTTATACTTCCAAATTTAACAGACTGTCAACACCAAGTGAAACGGAGGAGGGGGAGGAAATAAACAAAACCAAATCAAACCAGGAGGCATTAACAGCTCCTTTTTCTCCATGGGTTTTTACCGTGACTGGCCAGAGCTGCAGAGATGTCCCTCTTTTAGAAGCACCCCCATACCTTTTGAAAGAACCTCCCTGCCAAAGAATTTAAAAGCTTTTTTCTTGCCAAAAACTTTTAAATTATCGAAATTAGTTGCTCACTTTTGGAGATCCATTACCCACATAAACACAGTAATCTGAATTGTTTAATAGATGATAAATCATTTTGAGAAATATCTTTCATGCTTTTTCCAGTTTGCAGAGAAATTCCAAGAAGTAAAAGAAGCTGCCAAATTAGCAAGAGACAGATCTCAAGAGAAAATTGAGACCTCAAGCAATCATTCCCAGGTTTGTAATTTAGCTTTAATGCCTGTACACATACAGGACAAATAATTTAAAGTTAAATTTTCTAAATGGACTATAACCAGCTTCTGGCAGCAAGCGTGAAGTTTATAAAATGGAGATTGCCAAAGGTAATTGTCAGCTGCTGGACATTAGGATTGTCACAGGAATATTTTTCATCCATCCGTGCTCTTTGCCTTCATTAAAATCTAGTTTCTTTCAGCAATTCTTGTGCTGTTATAACTTATTTAATAACAGAGAAAGCCATACATCTTTTGGTTTGTACTGTTACACATAGTTTGGGTCACTGGAAAGTAAGTGAGTGTAGTGCTTCAGCAGACAGTAAATGAGATTGATCGAGATACTTCTTTTTGTCATCTAATCTACTTTTGTAGGAGTTTGGTTTGCCAATGGTGAGACTGACTTTTGTGGCCATAGTGTTTCATTGCCTAGGTGTGACTAATGGAAAGCTGTGGTGTGGGAACAGAGGCAGTGCTTTAGTGAGTAGTTGGAAGAAGCTTGTGTGGCGTATTTGTACAATGCACTTTTCTAGACAGCACATCTTGATACAGCCAAGTGCCTCTTGTCTAGGGAGATATGGGTTTCTTACAAATTGAAGAAATTGGGTGTTGTCCCAATCTGTCTGTATGTTTAACTTTTATTTCATAAACACTGCATTAGGCAAGAATGAATCCTGTTCAGTGGGTGTTCTTGGCCTGGGCTAATGTTTGGAGGAACGTTAGATGAATTTTGATCAGAAAGGAATTCAGATGCGTTATTCACATACAAGAGTGAACTAACCCTTTATGTTGGGTCCACAAATATTAATCTGAGAGGCTACTTTGAATACTCATTTTTTTAAAGACTTTGGTTATAGCCTTTATGGTTCACCTTGTCCTTAGTTGGTGATCACCGGGCAGTGAATGAATGGTATCTCTATGGAGAAGCAGTGCCTTCGTTTTTTGTTTTTCGTTTGGACTTTGTGTGCTTCCAGATGCACTGTATTGTTTCATTATCTTAAAAAAAAACACCACAAGCCTTGTCATGAAAACACTTAAAAATATTTCAAACACTTTAAACTGCCATTTTGTATTAGCATTATATTTTTTTCATTTTTTTTTTAAACAGACCAGCTTTGCAGCCAAGATGTAAAGGGTATGTGTTTGTTCTGCCAGGAGAGCATCTGCAGCCTAGGTCCCAGCAGGGTGGTGTGGGCACAAGATTACAAAGAAATTGATGTGGTGGGAGATGCAGGGGACACCCGGTATTCATTTGTGTGTTGTGCTGCAGGAATCTGGACGTGAAACACCATCTTCCACTCGAGCATCTAGTGTGAATGGGACAGACGATGAGAAGGCATCACATGGAGGTCCTGCTGAGGCACATCTCAAGTCTGAGAATGATAAATTAAAAATTGCTCTAGCCCAAAGGTGAAGTTCCCTTAATACCTAAATTGCATTGGAATAGCATGCTGTAATTATCTGATGGCTAATGAGATTAACAGAAATTATTCAAATATAATTGCATTAATTTAAAATGATACAACAGAATGGATGAATGAGCAGATTTCAGCAAGTACCTCCCAGTATGCAGTTGAGAGATATTTACCATTTAGTCTTTTCCTGTTCTACTTCGTGATGAAATAAGATATCTTTTACTCTGCTCATGCCAACTCTCAGAACCACCTTCATTTGTGAAGTTTTTGAGCTACAGAAATAACATTAAAACCATGGGGGAGCAATTGCTGCTGATAATTATAAAAGGGAATGAACTCAACTGGAAAAGTTGAAGTAAGAAATATAATTTCAGCAGTCTGCTTAGAAGTCTTAGGGGAATGTTTCTAAAGCTGTGGACAGTGCCCCTTGAAGCCACATTTTTTGCTATTTGCTTTGATAAATTAATTTGAAAATGCTGAGAAGAGTAATTTGCAGCCATAGTGGAAACACAGGCATTGGAATATGCAAAGTTACAACATTAAAATAGAATAGTTCTCTGCTGGGATCTTGCCTTATCTGCCTGTTGCATGTGAATATATCTGTCAATGGAAATACAATCTATCAGGATCAGGCTACTCTTAAGCTATTTAAATTAAGGCAGCAGCACCGCAAGCAGCATTACCCATATATTATGCATATATGCTATCTGAAGCACACCATCTCTCTTTATTGACATTTCAATAGAGTAACCTATTTCAAATCATAACGTTTGTGCATTCCTCCTGCTGAAGACACCTCCACAGGCAAGTAGCAACTAGAATGGAGGGAGTTTCAAAGCCTTGCTTCCATTCACTCTATTCTTGTGCTCTATACTGCAGCTTGAAGCTTTGGGGAATGAGTAGTTTAATTCTTCAGCATTATCTAACACTTTTGTGTTTAAGGCTGAACATTAAAAAAAAAATCACATCTAGATGGTGTCAACCGCTGACATCTTCTGTTCTGAACTACTATATCAGCTGCAAATGTGTAGTTGCTTTGTTGCATGGGTACCACATCCCCAGGCCTGCAGTGCAGAGGTACTTGGTGAGGCACAGCCACATGTCTCTGGAGGTGGGCAGAACGTGTTTGCAATGGTGGAGATCCCAACTGTCAACCCTACAGCCTGCTTCAACAGCAGGACTTTTGCTCCTAACACACCGGTCACTGTTGCTGGAGTTAATAGATCCCTGTGTTTTGGCAGAGACAGTCAAATTAAGGCTTATGTTCTTCTCAGGCAGGCATTACGTACATAGGAATATTCTTGATCTTATAACAAAAAATTATTGGTCAGCTCACACCAGTGGTGGGTGAGTTCGCAGTCAGGTAAAGAATAATGATGCACAGGTTTATCAGGTGAAGCCATCTGATGGTGCCCTGTTTTTCTCAGTTCAACCAACGTGAAGAAGTGGGAGACGGAGCTGCAGACACTGCGGGAGAGCAACGCCCGGCTGAGCACAGCGCTGCAGGAGTCCGCAGCCAGCATCGAGCACTGGAAGAAGCAGTTCTCAGCCTGCAAGGAGGAAAATGACCAGCTCAGGGGCAAGGTAACAGAGCATACCCACAGGAGAGCCATCTCTTCCAGTTAGCTGATCCTGCTGCTGCTCTTTCTCTTGAATCCCTGCTGCTTTGTGTGTTAGGAGACAGATTTTGTCTCGGAAAGAGAGGTGGGCAGGGGGGGTTTAAGGCAGCTGTTTCCCTCTGCACACAGTGGGCACGGAAGTTCGAAGGGCTGGGGATCAGTGGGAGGACTGGTGCTGCCACGTTGCATGAAGCTCCCTGACTCTGGAGTTCGAAGACTTAGTGTTAGCAGGGGTTGCTGGCCAGGGTGATAGAACAGTAGGGTTTTAAAAGTGAGAATACTATTGCATATCCCTCTCAAAACTCACTTAAATACTGCCAGATGATGAATGAGCAGAAGGCGTGGTTTATGGCCTGGTTGCCCATAGGAAACTAAGCTGGGAACAATACAGTATTAGAAACAAATCCTGACAGTGGGCAGGGGAATGAGGACATCAGTTATGTCTGTGAGCTGGGTCCTCCAGCACTAATGCTGGGCACATCAAGAGGCATCCTGCGGCAACCTTTTTGCAAGGCAGATACTCTCTACCTATTTGCATGTATTTTGGGTGTGCACAGTGATAATTCAGAGTCCAGTCCAGAGCTGTATTAACTGATGTTACATTACAAAATAGTATTAGTTGTTACATGGTTTGCGTTCCTATATCCAGTCTCTTTTGGTCAGGGGAGAAGTGAGAGACTGGAACAGAATGTTGTAAGAAAAGACGATTTATTGCAGTGTAGTTTTTTCGTTTTCTGTACTGTTGCACAGAAAAGTTGTTCTCATTAACATTAGCTGATGAAACATGCCACGTCTCAGTAGCTGTAGCCTACATACGAAAAGATTATCAAAACCCTGCCTTACTACAGCTGCAAAGTCATCATACCAGTGACTAGCCAGGCTGTGCAGCAACGCTGTCTGTGTAATGTTCTGTCTTTCTCTACATGAGAGGTTTTCTGAGCTTTACTCCCAAGTAGGCGCCTTGCTTGGCGCTCGTGCTGCACCACTGCAGTGCCCTGGGAAGTTCCATCTCCTTTATTAATTGGGTCAGAATTTTTTGCATATTGCTCTACCTTCAAATAAAGGAAGTTATAATCCCAAAGCAACATGAAGCTGAGAATTAAAGTGCGTACTTTAATGAGCTGGCCCATCTCCTGAGAGCAAAGCCCAGAGCTGGTAGCAGAACGTATGGAGAGAGCAAAGCACATCTCTGGGCAAGAGAACAAAGCGGCATACGTTGCTCTGGATTGCTTCTCTCCCCAAAGTTTTGATGATGTGTCTGTCCCTTGAACTCCAGCTAGAATAATAAGCAACCCCTGAGGAGGCAAAGCTGGGAGCACCAGAGAGATTTCTTCTCCTTGCTGTGTTAAGAAAGCCCATCCCTTATAGTCTTGTGTTGGTTTCGCAGAAGTGAAATGCAGATTTTATCCCCAGCTCTGCTTATTTTAGCAGCTCAGTGTTTTGTGCATTCCTGAGTACTTATATGAGATACTGTGCACGAGAGAATAAACACAGTCCCGGGGCTTCCTAGTGGAAGCGTAAATTGGCTCTTTTTAAGGAAAGAAGCGATAGTTTGAGTGCAGTGAGTCAAGTGCTATGATTTAGGAAACAGATCCATGACAAATTAAAATTGCCCATGCTTCCCTCTGTTCACTGGAGCAGTGCCCATTTCCATCAGCTGGGTTCTGCCCCAGATTCTCAGAAATCTGAGAAGTTTCACCTAATGTCTGACATTTCTTAAAGATTGAAGAACTGGAGGAACAGTGCAATGAAATAAATAAAGAGAAGGAAAGAAATGCACAGCTGAGTAGACGTCTCCAGGAACTGGAAACAGAACTTCAGGACAAAGAGCTGGTAAGTGCCCTGAACCCAGATATTACATGCTTTAGAGTTTGATTGGGTCTGTCTGCTTCTGACTTGGAATGTAGATTTATGGGCTGGCTCACCTACAGCCAGAAGCAGCCCAATTTCTCCGGGTGTTGCCTGTTCCTAGTTTTTTCGTGTACAGCTCCTTAGCAACAGTTTGATAGAGTCCCTCAGTCTCAGTTTCATGACGTATTTTGTGCTGTGACAGCACGCTTTAATTTGGCAGGGGTTAACAAACATGATACTTTCATATACAACATTTTACCTCTAACAGAAGAGCTCAAGTGGTGATACTTGTTGCCTAAAGCCAGACAGATGTATGCAGAGAACAGTTTTGCCAGTCCCCATCCCAGAATTCACGTAGACATCAGCACCATCATTAAAAATACATCATTTACAAAATCATATGGCATTTGTGTAACAAGTCCTGTTTATTTTCCAGATGGCTGGTAGTCTTCAGCTTTGCCATTTTACAGTGTCCCTCTGATCTCAGGACTAATGCCAAAAGTGAGAAATTCAGATTCACTTGGAGTACCCTGGTTTGTCCTTTTGACATACAGGGTGTCCATTTTTCTAAGGAGAATGATACTGATGGCTTCAAGCCCCTGAACAGTGGTGAAAATAATGGGATCCTTGTTTTTTTCCTTCATTACAGTGACCAAATGCTCTGTGCTAGATGAAGAGAAAAAGCTTCCCAGCAGGTGCAATAAAGTTTGCCATGTGCCATTGCAGCATCTCTGCTGGTGCTCTTAAAAGCAGTGCTGTTAAGGGGTTTTAAGATAGCACAAGGAAATAGTTTAGGGAGATGGATTTTGATGAAGATTATGAATACAATCTTTTTCAGCCCCATATTTCAAAGGAAAATATTGTGCTTTCTTCCCAACCTTTCTGTGGTAATAGCATGTATAATAACCCTTATATTCTGCTAGTGTTTTCTTCAAGGTTCACATTTTTACAGTACCAAATGAACCAGAAAATTGATTGACTTGTGAACATCGTGTACCTATCTTCCATTTACACTGTCAGTATACCGACTTGTTTTCAGCCTGCATACTCACATTAGCAGGTGCTTCATTAGGTCTACACCACCCATATGTAACCTTTTTCATGGTCTGCAATTCAAACCAGCATGAAGCCTGCTCATGGACATTGCCATGCAAGAGGAGCTGCTGATATCCTCTTCGTGTAGGAAACGCAGAGAGAAAAATGTAAAGACATGGGAATCAGGACAGAGCTACCTAGTGGAGTATTTATATTTATATATGTGTATATATATGTGCGTGTATATATATATATGTATATATCATGTGCCATATACTATATATAGTGTGTCTATATATACACACAGTAATATACGATATATAGTAAGTATTACAGTATAGTAGTTATATATGTAGTAAGCATATATAGTAGAATATAATTATGTTTTGAGATGTAAGCTCCGTGGCATTATTTGTGAATATACATATGTATGTGCACGGTAGTGGGCACAACTGAAACACAGGAAATTCCAGCTGAATATGAGGAAGAACTTTTTAACTTTGAAGGTGGCAGAGCACTGGAACAGGCTGCCCACAGAGGTTGTGGAGTCTCCTTCCCTGGAGATATTAACAACCTGCCTGGACATGATCCTGTGCAGCCTGCTCCAGATGACCCTGCATTAGCATAGAGGTTGGACTAGACGATCTCCAGAGGTCCCTTCCAACCCCAACCATTCTGTGATTAAATGATGTGTTTTGGAATGCAGACATTCTATTTTGATTATTTTACATCCACATACTTTGCAGAATACAATAGAATATGCAAAACCATTTCATAGTCCCAAATTTCCATTATGTTTTAAATTGAAGCTTGCACTAATGTATTTTTTTTTTCTTTATGCTTTCAAAGGAACTGGAAGAGCTTCGAAAGCAGGGTGAAATTATACCACAGCTAATGTCAGAATGTGAATCTGTATCTCAACAATTACAGGTACAGTTAAGCAATTAAATTAATTTTCAAATAGTTGATACATTTATTTTTTCATAAATATATGCTTTTATCTGTTCAGACCTCAGTGTTTGGAGGCAAAAGAGCTCTAGTTTGTAAAATGTTAATTACATGCAACATATACCATGCCCTTCTCAGCACAGGAGTAAGTAAATAGCTCCATTTCTTTGCCTTGCTGTCTGCAGAAATTGGTTTGCCTGGGATTGTGCTGCCTGTATCTCCTGCGGATTCCAGGCTATCCTGTATCCCATATTTCTGCTGGCCTGGGCTTGTGGAACCGTACCACAGCCATGTGTGTGTGTCGAGCAACACACCAAGACCTGCGGCTAATTGCCGCAGTGCACCAGGGAAGGCTTTTTGGAAAGAAATGGATGAGCATGGTTGCACATAACCAGGGAAAGGAGTTCACCTGAGGATGCATTTACATGCTGTGTCATTCCTTGCCAGCATCAACTAGCTCGCTGTGGCTTTGTTTTGCACAAGTAGCTGGTCTGCCGGGGGGTGCTCAGACAGACTGGAGCTCACTGGGCTGCTGGAGCCCTATCCAGGCAGTGGCTGGGCTTTGGGCGTCACTTGTTAAAGTCAGGGCTTGTGCAAATGCAATAAATCAATACATGAAAGGAGAGCAGATGTAAGCAGTATCTCATCAACGAAGTAAAATCCAATCAAATAAGCCATAATTCTGATAATCTAAAATCATTTAGAAGGCTGCTGAGGAGTGCAGATACTGATATTGTAAAAACACGAATTTCGTTTGGTTCAGGGTGGTAAAGTATGTCATCTGTGGCTTTTGATGAGAATATGTGCTTACATGTATGCAATAGAGAACAATAGGCAGAAGAGCTAATGAGAGGGGAAAATAATTGAATGAACTGCAGCAAGGGAGGTGTTACATGGGGGCCCTGTTCCTTGCACTAGTGCTCACAGGGAGTTGAGCTTTAAAAAACACCAATAAATCCAAAGGTGCTGAATAAAGCAATATTATTCCTCAGACAGTATTTTCTAAGCTTGTTTTCCAGTGTTAAACCACCATAGATAATACTGTATATAATTGGTGGCACAGTGTCTAATCCTGCAACTGTAGCAATGACAGAAATATATGCACAGTGCACGACTTAAATCCAGCTGAATTTTAAGATATCCACCAAGTGACAAAATCTGATGCAAAGCATCTTTTCCAGTTAATATGTGTCCTTTCCTGCGTGGGCTTTCTTTCCTTTTCATCTGACTAGCACACCACTTGCTCTTGTTAATCAGTTTGCAGAAGTCAGAGCAAAACTTTTACAGCCCAGCTGTCATTTATTGCTTTACCCTACTAAATGCTGTTCATCCTTCTTCTCTATGATTCATCTTATTGTCTCTTTTGTCTTTAAGGCTGCTGAGAAAAAGAACAAAGATCTTGAAGAGAAAGTCAGAACGCTAAGGACAGAAGTGGAAGAGAGCAAACATAGGCAGACCAACCTTAAAACTGAATTAAAGAATTTTTTAGATGTACTAGATGGGAAGATAGATGAATTACAAGATTTCCGACAAGGACTGTCTAAACTTGGGGTTGACAATTAGATGGCAATAGAATTTTTTTTGTAATCTAGGGTCTGGATGTTTGATGTTTTGTTGATCCCAAATGTGTGTTTTACAAAATATAACTAGAATGTTCCACTTGTTTGCATTGGTTTTGTACATAGAGGCTGCGAATTTGCTGTGGGGGGTTTGGGATTATTTCTTTCATCTGTTTGTTTATTTTTCAAACCAATCGTGCTGCTCACTGAATTTTGTTGAGATTAGAAACTTCATATATTGCTGCTCTGGTTTCGTGGGGTTGGGAACAGGTAGAGGGTTCCGTCTCAGGAATCTGGAACTAGATCTACCTTAAAATGAATATGCAGTTAGTTGTTGCAGGGAAATTTATATCTTTCTTAAGGGCTGTTGCAACCATAGAAACAGAAAACTAGTCTTTTTCTTGTCCGGACTATCGGCAATCCTACAACATCAACTTTTATTCCTTGGTGGAGCAGACAGAAGATTAGAGATTAGCTGGAACTCCTGCAGTGTGTAAAATGTGCCTGTGATGAGCTTCAGTCAAGTGAATCACTTCACACAGATATCAGTATCTTTAGGGACCATGTCAATCAGGCCTGATTCACCAAAAAATAAATCCAGTGGATATCAGATGAACTCCGATACAGGTTGCATGTGCTTGCCTGGACCCATACAGCACAAAGTCAGTGACATAGAAATGTATTTCAGCTCTTCAAGTCAAGCATCTTACTCCGTAGGTGAGGACAGCTTCTCTTGCTTGGCAAGGCCATCTCTCCTTGGCCTTCAGTTTTGAACCCACATAGTTCCATCATTATGTGCATCTCTGAAAAATGCCCACCTGAGTCTTGGGACCAGATATGTATTTTAGAAAGTGACATGTTGCTGGCTTCCACACAGGGTGCATGCACCTCTGTGCAACTTGATCACTGTTGATTAACTTCTGCAGTAGTGAAGGGGACATTGATCTGAAAAGCAATACAAGGTTTCTTGAAGATGATGCTCAGAAGCACGTTTCTGCCCAGGAGTCTGGCAGGGTCATGACCACGTGAAATCAAAATCCTTTCCAATGATTTCTGTATTCTCACCTTGCGTGTCTTTGACAGTAGGGTGGGAACTGGTCACAAAGGTAGACTGTCCAAAAAAACCCCAACCCAAACAGCAGAAATGCTGTCGTATGCTCAAACCGGTTATTCAGCAGCTCTAAGCATGTGTTGAGAAATGCAAGGTCATACACTGGGCTCCAGTGAGAAGGAAGTCCACTTTGTCACAGACAGGGATGTAAAAATGGCCAGAGAGGAGAATTCAGACCAAGTTTTGCTCTTGCCCCTATGACTGCTTTCAGCTTCTTTCTCTTCTTTCTCCATAACATGGTTTGAGAATCTTTTTACATGGGATCTGAATTAATTCAGGAGAGAACTTTTGTTTATGTGACATTATTATTTGCTTAATTCAGGTGAAAGCTGAGTTAAGCACAGTGTTAGTGCATTCCAGCAGTGATTGCTAAAAAATGGTCATGCTTTACTTAGGGGCTTTTTTGTTTTCTCAGCAGATCTCAATTATAAAAGTGACCTTTAAAAGAAAGGTGAGTTATTATGAAACATGCATTGAATATCTTTTACACATGGATATATAATCCCCGTGCTGGAGATAGGTTCTGTCTGCAACTGTCCCTTGAATTTTTATCTGTTACCGTTGCATTACCTTCGATCCCTGGTTTTTAGACTGGACTACTTTGTGCATTTTCGCTTTTACTCCTTTTAAACAATGATGTGAAGCCAGGACCTTGCAGAAGCATTGTGACCTCTTTAAAAAAAAGTGTTGTAGGCTCTTGATATTTAAAAATAAAAATACAAATAAAAACACAAATAAAAACCAGGTCCATAGCATGGAGGCGTGTGAAAATTAGACTTTGCCAGTAGGGAAGAGTCAGCAGTTGCATAGTGTGGGGTTACATCAGACTGCTCAAAACTGAAAATGACATCAGAAACTCTGTGTGGTTGTGCACAAGTAGTCTGCATTTTTAGGCTTTTTATTTTATAGCAAGTCAGATAAACACCATAATTTCACAGGAAGTTAATGGTCCTGCTTCTCCTCTCCTTCCATGCTGCTTTAGAGTTCCTGAACTGCAGCTGATCCCTGCATCACTTTGGAATCACAGGATAACACAACTAAGAGCTGCAGTACAGCCAGTCAGGGGCCTCCTCGTCAACAGTGGTTTATTGCTTTTGCACTGAGGACCCTGCTCCATCTTCTGGCTCCTTTTTCTTGTTGAGCAGTCTTCGTGCTTCCTTCCTGGTTTTAACACAAAATATGATTTTTAACAGGAACCTGGGTAGATGGAGTTAATCTAGATTTTTTTTCTACTTTAGCTGGGTCTATCTCAGATCCAGTTCGTTATGAATGTATTAAGCCACTCTTAAAATGCAAGAAAAGTGTTTCTATGGGACTGCATCGATTTAACAGATGGAGCTTAATGCTGGTGCATTAAACCAGTGCATAGCTCTGACATGGGTGGTTATTTCTGGGTGCTTCGTGCCCACCAGAGGAACGGTGGGGGTGTCCTTAGAGAAATCTCTGCCCTGTCTCTTCTAGTTTTGTCCCAAATGTATGCTTTCCTTATCTGCTACTGCTCTGAAACTGAGTTGTTTGTTAAGGAAACTGAGTTGTTTGTTAAGGAAACCGAGTTGTTTGCTAAGGAAACTGAGTTGTTTGTTAAGGAAACCAAGTTGTTTGTTAAGGATAGAGCTATATGCTGTGAGAAACTCCACCATCCAAGGTCTTGCTATAATTACCTTCTTTCTCTCTTTTTCCTTCCCAACAGCAGTAAATTGAGAGCTTCTATGTATAATCACTTTAAAACCTCCCCCAAACTCCATCTCTTTTAACCTTTCTGCCTCTTTCACTGTACTTTTCCAAAGTGTGCTAGGAAGAGGCAGTGGGTGCTCTCAGAAGTGTTTGTTTGGATGCCAGCCTGGCCTCATTCCTGCCCCAGATAGGAGCCCCATGTGCCTGCTGGGTGGGGACCATTGGTCTCGCTGCTTATTCCTTGATGCTCTGTGGTGGCTCAGCAATAACCCCTGCGTGTCATACTGTGACCTCCACTCCTCAGGGACTCATCCCAATGTTGAAATGCCTCCTCCTTCCCAGTGGGAACACCAAGGCAGCCAGCCTTCCCCCACCAAAATGCCTGCACCATCCTACGGATGCATTTATTCCTCTTTTTGTGCTCCCTGGGGATTCAGCCCATCCCCGTGGGCACCCCAAACCAGGAGCTGCACTCAGCTGGCAGCCACCTGCTTAGGGATGGCCCCAAACGCTGCTGGGGCCAAGAAATGCTCATCCCTGTCCAAAAGAGGGCCTACAGAGCATGTTTTTATTTGTTATTAAAATACAGTGCCGGGCAAACCCTGGTTTCCCCATGCCATCAGCAATGAAGTAGGTCATCGCTCCATTTCCATTGAGCCTGAGTGGAGGTGTCTTTATACAAGGTGTATCTCAGCTTGGGCAATCAGTCATGGGTTGTCTTTCTGGACACAGTTTTTTCCCTCTGCGTGGTTGATGGCAGGGTCTATCCTACCTCAGTTACATGGTCTTTTGTTAATAAGGGTCTTGTGCTTGGCACTTCCCATGCTGATACCTGTCAGCTGCAGCACCGCAGATCCCACCTCACTGCCCATCCTGCCTGCCCGGCCCCAGTGCCAGCAACAAGCTGGTGGCTCTAGCAAGAGAAATCTGTGCTGGCCTCTTCTGACACTGAGTTAGAGAGTGTCTTAGTGCCTTCCAGGCTTACCAATGCGATGTTCCTTTGAGCTGGTGTTAGAGCTGCTGAATAATGGTGGGGTGGTGGTTTTTTGGTGGCCAAAAAGAGAAACAAACAGGTCTACTTTGTATTAGCACAAAGCCTAAAAATATTCAGTGACATAAAAATACAGGGACGTAATTGTTTCTAAGGGAAAGAATGTTCTGTTAGATCTGTTATTTCACATTTTGGAAAATGACCTTAGTCTCATCTTTGAATAAATTATTTCCAAATTAAAAACTGAGACATTTTTTCACACCCCAGAATAAAGGAGGTTAACCTTCTGCTCTTTCTCTGCTTGGCTGGATCTTTATTTGCTGATTTTGACTCAACTTCACAAATAGTTTTTTATTTGGTTTAAAAGTGCATTTTCAGCAAAATTAGTACTTTTCAGTGTTCTGTCTACATCTAATTGGTGTCTCCTTTACTGTGTGAGCTCACTGGAAGGAAACTGTCCCTTCTGTAAGAATTCCAGTGCCACCTCTCACTTTCTATATTCTGGCATTCGAAAGATGCCTTTTTAAAGATAGATTTACACTGGGTGCATCTGTGCCCAGAAACAAATGTTATTTAGACAATGCTTGTTTTCCAGACAACACCTGATTTTATTTTAATGTGAGTGATTTAGGGTGAATGCTTTTTAAAGCTGTTCAATGAATTAAGAAGGGCAGGAGTGGCTTTTGCTGTTCCCCCTTGCTCTCCCTGCCACTGCCATTGCTTTGGAGGAGCATCAGCAAAAGCATTTGCGGTGTTAAAGCAGGTGCTTACTCTATGCTCATCCTATGACTTGTTGGGCTCAGGGACCCCATGTCTCCCTCTCAACAGTTGTCTGTAGGTTTCTGCACTCTATGCTGTGTAACTTTTATTTTTCAAGTGTTCATTTTCTCCCTTATTAGTTTCTTGCCACCTTTGGCTGCTTCATGAATGACAGGAGAAATGACTGGTGGGAGTTTCTCAGCTACAAGACTGCTCTTCGTTACGCTCTTCCGAATGTTTATCTCTGCAAAACCCTTCAAAGCATCAGTGGCTTGTAAGGAATATAGTGCTGTCTTCCTGAGCCTACGGATTAACAGAGATAAAACTGCTATCAGGGTGAAATGCCTGGCTCAGCTCAGCGTGTGAGTGGTGCTGAATCTGAAGGGAAGAGGTATGAGGGAGGGATCAGCAGCAGCAGCAGCAAATTTTGACAGTTGTTTCAGCAGAAGCTTCAGTGAAAGATGTGCTCTGCCTACAAGCTGTGGATGTGCCAAAGGTCTAGGATGGCCACGCTGACCTGTCAGCTCACCCATCTTTGTCTGGGCAGTTCTGGGCTTGTCAAGCCTGTCTATCAAAAAGTCCTAGTATATCACAAATGTGGCAGTGTGAGGGATGGAAAGTGAATGCCCACACACAGAGCTGAGCAGCGCGAGAGCATTGCAGCAATGCCCTGGTTTATGGTCAGCCACTTCCAGTCAAAAATAGGAAAAGCTGTTGCCATCCCATGCAGGCTCAGCAGTACCAGGGACCTTGCAGAAGGGCATGTTCACCTTCTGGAGGGCTGCGAGGCAGCAAGGACTCCCAGGCTGGGCTGGTGGGTCACAATTTAGTAACAGTAAGACAGAGCTAACCTAAGGTAATTTTTCTTTCCATGAATCCTGTTTAACAAGCACCAGCGTGTCAAGCAGAGCAATACGTATCCACAAGACATTTAATCCAGACACACCTCCAGATGGAGAGCCCTGGATGGGTGGCAGAGCCTGGCTGGGGATGCTGCGAATGGAATCCTGTGCCTCAGGAGCACAGCAGTACTTTAGGCTCAGTATTAGAATATAAACTTGGCAGTTAAATGAAGTTCACGTGTCTTAAATGCCATTCTCTGCGGTAAATGATAAGGTACCAGAAGTGAAATCCAGAGTCAGGAAGTGAATGATAATGTGACAAAGGTGCTTCTCAAATGAGGGCTCTCAACAGGCTGTGGACAGGGTGGGTCCTGGCTGGGATAGCTTTGCTTGCGTCCCCGTGGGATGTTGGATGTCTAACCTGATGTCTAACCTGTTTGACTTTCTACTGTGTTTTGTCTTAGCTCTGCTTCTTGTTTCCTTTTTTATTTTCGGTTTTGTTTTGTTTTTTTTTCTTCCTAGAAAGCCTAAACACAGTCTTCGGGTGAAGGTGCCTGTACCTCCAGAAATTTTATATGCACGTTTCAAAATAGATTTCTTTTTCCTTTCTGGTCATTTACTTACCTAGTAATAATGGTACGTACAAGAAAGGCACTTGACAGAAACCTGCCTGCTGTTACATTTTTGTTTGGGTTTGGTTTGGTTTTTAACACTGGTCAGCAATAATTATTTTAGCCATACATTAGCTAAAAAGATTGATAATATAAGACTTGGGAACTCAGCAGTATGGTGTTAACTTGGGTATGTGACGAAGGACCTCTGCTCAATAAAAGAGTATTTTGCAGCATTTAGATGTTTTCATTTAATTGCCTAATAGTGATCATGAACATAATATTCTGTAAAACTCATCATGAATGACAAACAAAGCACATTGTTTTTAACATGAATATATCCCTTGTAGTTGAAAGTTCTGAGAGTGTTTAGTGTGGTCTACTATACCAAAATATTTAGATTATTATGAGATTTTAGTACTAAACATAAACATACACCCTGTTTTTACTGTTTCAAGTAAAGTTTAGTGAATGACTGACAGTTTGTTGATACACAACTGTGGGAAAACACTGCAGTGCTTTAAATGTATATTTTTATTTGGGTTTATTATATTTAGTACATGGTTCAATGAAAACTGAAGTGTTTGCTACAGTTGGATAATTGTAAAAACATTTCTTACCTCGTCATTTTGTCTGCTGTGAAAAAGTAATTTCCTCTTCTTATGTTCTTTTTTTGTTTCAAATTGACCATAGACAGTCAATGTTAACATTTAGACTCCTAGTAGCAGTAAATGCTGGGTTTTATATATATAAAAGGAAAACTTGATTTTTTCTTTATGAACTTATTATATAACTTTGTGATTTTTATCTGATTTTATTGTAACATAAAGTTGTTTTATGTAAAAATATATAGTTTAAGTAAAATCTGTTGTCTCACTGTCTTCATTGACTTTGGAAAATGGACGTCCTTATGGCTGCAGATCTGCACTCAAGGTAACGCTGTCCTTTGATAAAGCAGCACCTGGTTTTGAGCTATAAATCCTATGGTATAGTGCCTTTGATAATCTCAAAATCTCTTTTTCAGGAGGTGGAGCTTTAAAATGTTTGCCTTGCTTCACTTTATACTGTCAGCACATCCAGGGGACTGCAGGCTTGGGGTGGGTGCATACATCACCAAACTGGAAAAGCAGCATCTAGAAATATTTCGGCCTGAAACTGTGGACTTGCTGCACACTGAGAAAGGTCTGTCGCTGGGAGAAAAGCTTTCTGTTGCCTTGCTGGGGGTGCTCAGGACTGAAAACCCTCTTGTGAATCCTGTTACTGACGCAGCAGCCTCTGATGGCAACAAGAGGTGGTCTTTTCTCTGGAGGAGCTACCTAGGACTCAGAAGTAACCCTCTTTATTGAAATTAGAGATGTTCTGACACCAGTGTCCTCCATCAGCATAACAGCAGTTAATAGGAGCCCTCTCAGATGGGACTCTTTCCCAAGGTCCAGTGACACAGTCCACACTCAACAGCACATCCCTGGTATGGACTAACACTGAAGTCCACCTACAGACAGCATCATTGTATTTATTGTACAGAAGCAGGGTTTGCTGTCTTTGCACCAAACCAGGCTTCCCCAAAGAAAACAGGAAGGTTTGAAGACTTAAATGGCTGAGGCTCATCTTGCCTTTGTTACTTTGGGCTATAAGGCTGCAAATGTCAGCTTTGGGCTGAGCGAGAAACACGTCTGCCCCTGACCTTCCACAGAGCTCTTCTACCAGGAGCCACCAACAGCTCTGACAAGCAGTTCAGCTTGTTCTGTCAGTCTCTGAATAACCAGTAGCTGTAAAAGCAGCTTACAAGTACTCCAGTAAAATGCAGTAACAGTCTCTCATTCTTAGCAAAAAAAAAAAAGCATTTATCTATTCGGATTTGCATAATTATAAAGCTTAGTATAACAGAAGTACCTGTGTGTACATCCCAGCACCTGCAGTTATCAGGAACAAGCCTCATTCTCCTGTTACCGAGCAAGCTGATGATCCTGCAGTGTGCATTCCCATTCATCAGCATTAGCACCCCTCTCCACTCACGCAAGGGGAAGTGCCTCATGCCACTGGTCACGGGGAGGTATCTGTTCAATACAGACACATCTGTCACTTCTGTAGGCCAATCCCTCATTAAATCCAGGAAGTGTTTTTAGCATTGAGAAAGTCCCTGGCCTGTGTGAGAGGCTGTTCCTCACCAGCTGTTGCAATGCAGGTGACCAGCATTTCCAAAAGAAACAGCCCTGTCCAGGAGCTGCAATGCTGCCAGCAAGGAAATCTGCTGCTGCCTGCCTGTGATCCCTTCATTTTCACATTCACTTCATTCATATCAGAAAGCTCATGGAGCCTCCTCGATGGGGTGTGTACTTCTGCAGTTACCTATTAACCAGTGTTTTACCTGGCTGTGTGATCCTTGTGCTGCCTTGAGACAGCTGATGACAATATGAGCTAAAGCCAGGTGAAGTTTAATGGTTAACACCTAAGTGGCTGAACAACCCTATAATATGTATTCATTTTGGTTAGCTTGGATGCCTTCAACAGCATAGGGAAAGCTAGCCCCTAATTTCCTTCCTTTTGGATGGAAAATCCCACCACGGCAGAGGCCTGTATAAGAGCAGTACAGTGGGTGAGATCCCTGAGCAGGGCCAGGCTGCTCTTTGTGTAACATGTAGCAAGTGACAGACTTAAATAAAATTCAACATTGTTCTGTCCCACACACTCCAAATGCTTTTAATGATGCTTTTCATCTAAAGACATGTCTGCATCAAGGGAAGGAAAGAGGATGTGTTAATTATATATTATTCTTTTCACTGTCTCCCCACTTCCTAGAAGACTTGAGCATTTATGCACAAATCCACTGGTACATACAGAAGCGTGCATACATTTTCTTCTACTTTTTATCTCCTAAAAAGTATCCAAAAGCTTGTGAATAATTTTAATGATTTGCAACATTAAATAGCCTTTACATAATTAGCATTGCCAACAAGAGCAGAACAGCAGCATCAGTGGGCCCAATGCTGTGGGCTGACATCCTGTGAACAACTGAAATGTGTGTGTTAGACATACAGACACAGCAGTGGCAGCTGAAACAGTAAAGCCAGGCAGTGAGC